TACTACGTCATATAGAGGGGTGAAAAAGTTTGAGGCTCAAAATAGCCTAAAGGATGCGGTTTGCTTTCATTGTAACAAGAAAAGATATTAGAAGTGCAACTGTAAGGAGCACTTAAAAGAGGTGAAGAAGAAAAGTTCTACAACTACCTTAGGTATTTTTATTATTAAAGTCTGGTTTTTCTATTTCTAATCCCTTCTCATGGGTATGTGATACTATATATGGTGCTCATATTTTTGAAATGTACAAGACCTTAGAAAAGGAAGGAATATAGCTTCAAGGGAGCATTAACTACTTGACTACAATGGATCAAGAGTTGAACCATCGGTTACAAGAACTTATGAGCTAGCACTACCGTGTAGGTTTGTACTAAGACTCAATAATTATTATTGTTGTTCCTAGTATAGACTAAGAATATTATTTCTATTTCTTGTTTGGAATAATTTTTTCATTTTATTTAAGAATAATGATTATCCTTTTTAAAGATGAAGTTTTATATAAAAATATTTTGATTGAAAAAAATTTATATGTTTTGAACATAATGTAACTTATATATATATATATATATACTAATTAGTTAGGCTTTACACATAAAGATGTATTTAGACTAATGTTCATCCATCTAAAAGGATGACATGATTATTTCATAACCTTTACCGATACTAGATCACGTTTTAGTTATGTAAATAAGACACAAGTATAAAGTATTTGAACTTCTAAAGTATTTGAAAAGTTCAAAGAATTTAGACTTACGATCAAGTAACGAACTAACAATAGTATTAAGGCATTTTAATCGGATCAAGGTGATGGATACTTAAGCAATGAATTTTAGATCGGCTTAAAGAGAATGAGATTCTTTATCAATGGACATCACATGTTAGGCATGGTTCGGTCTATAATGAGTCGAATTAATATCCCCATTTCATTTTGGGATAAACACTAATTACTCGTAACTTTTACCTTGAATACGGTTCCAATAAAGTATGTTGATCGGACTTCATATGAGATATGAAAAGGAAAGAAAATGAATTTATCTTTCCTTAGGATTTGGGGCTATAAAAGATATGCCAAACGTTTGGATGAAGACAAGCTAAAGCTTAAATCAAAAGAATGCAAATTTATAAGATATACAAAAAGAAGCAAATAGATATTATTTTTCCTACCACTAGAATAAAGTATTGTTCATGACTAGACATGTTATGTTCCTTGTGAGAAACTTATAGATACTAGGAATAGTGGGAGGAAATTTAAACTCAATAAGATTCGAGTAGACTCATAAATTGATGCTCCACTAGTAGAACCTTAAATAAATAGGTTACAAAGTATTATAACTATCCCATACATAAATACACAAGAACTTTATAAGTAAAAAATGTGTTCATCAAAAGACAAAAAATATGATCTTCTTGTCTCAACACAGGATGATGTGTACTCTTAAAAAAGATAACGAAGCTAACACTTATGAAATGGTAATGTTAGACATTGACTCTTGGATATGACAAATAAAAAAGATGTGTTAGATGCCTTACCCTTATGGTTCTAAAGAATATATAAAGGTCCGTTTATGGATTTGAGCATGCCTCTAGGAATTAGAGTCGATGTTTTGGTGAAACGATCAAAGAGTTTGATTTTTCAAAATAAAGATAAACTTTATGTATACAAAAGTTTGGTGAGAGTCTACTAGTCATGGTTATTCTACATGAAAAATAAACAAACTATTTCTCGGCTATAATATTATTATGTTATAATCTATAAAACATTAGGTATTTAAGAATTTTTCTATATATGACATGAGAGAGCGACCTATATTCTATGAGTCGAGATCTATAGAGATAGATCACTTAGAATGTGAAGGGTCTCCCAAGATAGATACATTGACATGATACTAAAAGGTTTAGTATGGAAGAATCAAAGAAAGGATTTTTCTAATGTCATATGGCTTGATGGCTGACTATAGAGGTTCCTAGCATCATTGATCTAATAGTATTATACTCGTAATAACAAAGGAGCCATAACACAAGTTAAGGAACGAAGGTCTCATCAAAGATTTTAGCACGTCTTCGCGATGCTACCACCTAATTAGAGAGATTATCGAGTTGTGATGATATAATGATAGAACAAGTCCATACTAATGACAACATAGTTGACCCATTGACTAAATCTTTATCATAACGAAACATGAGACCCTTACTCGATCGTCGGGCATAAGGGATATGGCTGGTTGGCTCTAGTGTAAGTGAAAGATTATTAGTGTAGGTGCCCTAGATTCAACATTGTTTGGATAAGTTTGACTTATTATAATATTGTATTATTTATTTTATTATTAAAAGAAGTCTTTCTATATAATCTAATTGTTTATATTTATTGAATAGAAATAGATAGAAGTCTATAAGATATACATTGCATTAATGATTGATCAAAAGATGTGAGACAAATATTAATGCACTTAAATGATATCATTAAATGTCCCAAGTCATAGTATTGTCAAAAATGGATATTGATTATATGCGGTAAGACTTGTAAGTGCTATTCTCATGCTATAAGATAGCGAGTAGGAGATCTCACACCTATTGACATGGTGATGCCAAACAAGCACTTAGGTGATTAATGTTAAAGAACATGTCACCTGGACTTGACTCGTTATCATGAGAACTCATTTGATTTACTCTATGAAAATCTCATACGAGATAGGTACAACTAGTCCTTTAACTTAAAGTTATCACGGTTATCTCATTAGACGATTTATATGCTTTGACATTCGTTTCAATAAACTCAATAAAGGGTTGCACGTGGGTTTTCGTTGGGTGCACTAGGAATCTAATGGAGATAGGTGGATAAATAAGATAGATTATGTCATTCATTGTGTGTTATTCCTTGTATGCTAAATGAGTTATCACATTATACTTCGATAATTAGTCTGCTCAAAGAATTTATGGGCATAGTAGGAGTAGATCACTAAAGTATAGTTGATTTACTCTAAGAGCTAAGACATTTGGGAATAAAAAAAAACTTATGTGATAATAATCGAATAGACTAATAACCAAGTTCAATGAATTATATGGTAACCATGCTCGTGAAAGATAATTATAGATTAATTAATTCTCCTAGAGAATTGGGTAGTCAAGATGTCTTACTAGAGGCTAATCTTGATTTATGTATCAAGAGATAAAAGAGATATCTTTTATTTTTGATACATTGCCAACATAACTAGGAGTCTATTGAGTCACACACATAAGTTTAAGCATTTACATAATAAAAGAGAAGTAAAGATTTTGAAAAAGGTTTCAAAGTTTTGAAAGTTTTCTATTTTGGAAAAAGTTTTTGAAAATAGAAAGTGTCTCGTTTTGGAAAAAGTTTCCTAAAATGAAAAATTTTCTGTTTTAGAAATCAATTTTCTAATTTGGAAGTCGGTTCCAAATTTGAAAATAAGTTACCTAAAAAAAAAATTAGTTTCCTAATTTAGGTTTAAGGGTAATTTGGAAAATTGTTTTCTAATGTAAGCCTCCGAAAAATATCTAACCTAATTTATTTGAATAGTCCAAATTAATTGGATCAAAGGAGTTCGGACCAATATGTTTAATTTAAAAGCTCGTAAGATATTTTAATAGGAGGATAAACATAAACCTTATTGGATAAGGATCAAGGTTTATAAGGATAAGATCAAAAAGGCCACATGCATTGCAACTCTCAATCTTTAGAGGACTAGAAAGCAACTACTTAGAGTCATTTTTAGACTTATTGTTACCATTTTTTAGCCTTGGAGATCAAGGAAGTCACTCCCCTTATAAATAGAAGGAGAAGTGCGATAAAGAGAAAAAGTTATGCTAAGCATACACAGCATTATAGGGGAAAAGAGAAAATAGTTTTCATCAAGGAAGTCACTCCCCTTATAAATAGAAGGAGAAGTGCGATAAAGAGAAAAAGTTATGCTAAACATACACGACATTATAGGGAAAGAGAGAAAATAGTTTTCTCTCTCCGAAAACATGCCACCTCTCTCCCTTTCAATTAGGGTTATGGCAAAAATATCCCCGAATAGATTTTTAAAGAGAAAACATTAATACAAATTAGAAAAAGGTGAAGCTAACACTCTACAACTTTTGAGTGTTTCTTGTGTGGGTGCTTAGACTATGTAGATTATTGATAGAGTTAGACACTTGAACGGTTATTTTTTACAAAGGCTAAATCTACGCTATAAGAGGTAATACTTTACTTACGCTTTCGATCATGTATTCATGATTAATTGATTCAACGGCTTAATATTGAGAGTCTTAAATGAAGAATTTTTTTTTGTTTTATTCCGCATTTTCATAGGATACATGATCCTTCTTCTTAGCTAATCCTTATTTTTAGATTAGGATTGATCATATAAGGAAAAATATGATAAAAATAAAAATATGACCAATCCCGATCTAGATCAAGATTGGTCATATTTTTATTTTTATAATTGATTATATTTTTCCTTCCTCTTCTTCTTGGTCTTAATCTAAAAAAAGAAAAAAGAAAAAAATGACAAATCCTGATCTAGATCGGGATTGGTCATATTTTTATTTTTATAATTGATTATATTTTTCTTTCCTTTTCTTCTTGGTTCTAATCTAAATGGTTCTAATCTAAAAGTAAGGAAAAATATAATAAAAATAAAAATATGATCAATCCTAATAGGATTGATCATATTTTTATTTTTATAATTAATTATATTTTTCATTCTTCTTCTTCTTGCTCCTAATCTAAAAATAAGAAAAAATATAATAAAAATAAAAATATAATCTAAAAATAAATGGATTGGTAATATCCTTATGGATTGGTAGTATTTTTATTTTTATAATTGATTATATTTTTCTTTCCTCTTCTTCTTGGCCTTTTTCCCTGATAAACTATATATATATAAACAAACAAATAATAGCCCGCCATCTTCAAAACCTGAAACCCTAAAATAAAGAACTGTAGCAGCGCACAACATGCAAATTTAATGGCGGGCAACAGGCAAACCTCGAATAAAATGCAAGTTTCGGTCGCAGCGCACAATGAGTTCTTCGGTGAGCTTTTCTCTCATTCCATTTCTGTTGTATTTTTAACAATTAACTAATTACATCTAAAACCGTTAATTAGGGCGTTGTATTTGGCTGTTGAATAACATTGTTTAGGCCTCAGGGGTTGAAGATAAGAGAAAAGGAATTGTATTTTTTTTTAATTTTTAAATTTTGATTTGAATTTGATATTGTGCGTGAAGTATGGAGAGAGTTCTTATGGGGAGGCATTGCTGGTGCTTTTGGGGAAGGCATGATGCATCCTGTTGATACCGTAAAGACGAGAATCCAAAGTCAAGCTATTCTTAGTGGAGGAACTCAGGTACTTGTCTTAATTACATTGATGATGTTATTTGTGTTGGGATTTTTTTCCCCAATGTTTTCATATAGAATAATACCAGCAGACCCCAAAGAGCCTGCTTCAGATGGTTCGAGCAGTTGCAGTTACTGATGGAGCAAGAGGTACATAATAGTTGCCAATGTTAAATACTAGCAGACCCAAAAGAACTTCAGATTATCAACTTTCTCTTGACTGAAACTGATCATCATCCTTTAGGCTTTTATAGAGGTATAACTCCTGGGGTTACTGGATCCCTTGCAACTGGAGCGACATATTTTGGCTTTATTGAGTCTGTCAAAAAGTGGATCCAGGAATCACATCCTAACCTTGGGGGTCATTGGGCACATTTCATCGCTGGAGCTGTTGGTAAGTTATTCTGCTGCCTCCTAACTTGTTTATTGCATTCTTTTACATCTGTGACATCTTATTCTCTTGCGAAATTTCAACTTCTTTATGTGTGCAAACAAAAATCATTTACATTTCAAAGTATGACTTAGAAGAACTTGACTCTCTCTCTGTTTTACTATTCTTCATGTATCTATTGCACAAAATTTGATCTCTGATTATTGTTGACAATGGATGCTTCTTCTTGTGTGTTGTCCTTGGAGGTATAATGTCTTTTTTTTTTTCCTGATATAATAGAGGATCATCCATTGTACTTCTTGGAGAACTCAGAGTTTCTTCTTGCACCTATGCATTTCAGGAGATACACTTGGTTCGTTTGTTTATGTTCCATGTGAAGTAATGAAACAACGCATGCAAGTGCAGGGCTCAAGAACATCTTGGACTTCTAGCATTATGAAAGACAACATCTCCAGGAAATCTGGTGAGCAAATTTATGGCTATTACACTGGGATGTTCCAGGCTGGCAGTTTACTATTGAAGGAGCAGGGGCCAAGAGGACTATATGCTGGGTAAACGTCAGAAACCTCTCTACCTTTTGCATGGTTTTATTTTATTTTTTTCCTACTTGTGTTGTTTGCTTTGGTATATAGACTAACTTATCCTTATATATATATATATATATATATATATATATATATATATATATATCAATTTTGAGAAAGTGCTTTCAGCAGTAAATCAAGTAGAGTTTTTTTGTTTCCAACTAAGTGACATGCATCAAATGAGGTAGTCAGACTACCACATATTGCTTTCTGTTTCTCATATCCATACTAGATTATACCGAACAAAGTAACTTAAGTACATTGGCTTAATGTTTTCAAACACGGTCAGGTTTGATTTCTCACAAAGAAATCATCAAGGACTGCTGTTTTAGTTGATGGACACATTGTATTAAATGATTCTCTATTTTTCTTCTGCACTGAATATTGTCTTACCTAATGTACCAGTACGTCTAAATTGAAGTGAAATGGAAACTGTGATGGCTGAGTGATGTGCCCAAGTCTCCTGGTTTACTAACATTTAACCTGTTGTAGGCACATGAGTTCATGCAACAGAGCTATAATTTAGTTGTCAAGGGATCACTCCTTCCAATCTTTTAATGTATAAAATGAATTATTTAACTATTTATTATGTTTGTTTTCTTCAGAAAACTAAACTAGTTTCATGTAGTAAGTTATCACCTATTATTGCATACATGGTTGAATCTGAATGATCCTCTGTACATTTGTCAAAACCCTGTGTTGGTATTACTGTTTGGCTACATGAAACCATATTCATCTAAACATGTGAAAATAACTGCTGTTTAATATAAAACATTGAAGGCATCTTAACTGATAATTGTACCACCAAGTTCAAAGGAAGTCTAGCCAAGGTGCACAGCTCTTTTTTTATGCTGCCACTCAAAACTGTTATATGATAGGAAAATACAAGTTTTAGCTGCAAGATTTCTATGATTACTTATTCCAGCTTTTAACTTGTAATTTTTGGTTTTTTAGGCAACAAGTACAACTTGTCAAAAGAGGTATTCCACTCAATAACTCTCTGTTTTCATGTATTGATTTTTTTGGCAGATACTGGTCTACACTTGCAAGGGATGTGCCCTTTGCTGGTTTAATGGTATGTAAATTTGTTCTGAGAACTTGCTATATCTTACACTTAGCTTATCTTTTATTTGCCACCAATTCTTAAAATTTTTGTGTCCATGCTAATTGACAACTTCTGTAGAGCTTATTTGAGTGATTTTTGTTTTTATATGCAGGTTATGTTTTATGAAACCCTAAAAGATTTGACAGAGTATGGGAAACAAAAATGGATACCCAGTTTAGATCACCTTATTAATGGTTCTGTGGAGGGACTTGTCCTAGGAGGATTGGCTGGGGGTATGTAATTTGCTTCTGCTTTATTTTAGGGTTTCTTGCATGGCGGAAACCAACAATTTTTTCCGTGGGGTCATTATTAGTTTAGTAAAAATTTCTTATATATGCTATTCTTTTCTTATCCATGATTATTACTAAATAAAACTAGCAAACATTTAAACATATTCCGGGTAAATAGCTCAATCTATCCTTATATAATTAGGCAAGTCTCCAATATGTCCCTACATTTCTAACTATGTGTATTATGTCCTTGTATAGTATCAAATTCTCCAATATATTCTTCAATTAAGTTCTTTCACTCTAATTGACAAAATTATACTTTTTATTTCAAATTGCCGTTGAGTTATATAAGAATATAATAAAAAAGTTTCTCAAAATTGCACAAAATGTTTTAGGAAATAAAAAATTTCAAGGTTACTTAACTTTTAAAATTTTAAAAAATAAAGATTTTATTTTATTTTTTTCAAAAAATCAAAATTGTATTATTGTATAGTTCAATGGTAGTTTTAAAATAAAAAATATAATTATGTTAATTTGGATGGAAAAACTTGGTAGGACATATTGGAAAATTATATATTGTGCAGGCACATAATAGATACAATTAGAAACAGAAAGACAAATTGAAAACTTAGCTAATTATATAAGAATAGATTGAGTCATTTACCTAGCATCTTGATAAAATAATTATACAAGTAAATGATTCACTACATAATTTCGTCAATATAACAAAAATACCATGCATTTGACAAAGAAATACAATCGAAGCAATAAAATTTGATGTTTGAAAGTTTGATCTACCAGATTTATGTAAGACCCCATCAACTGAACTTGCTAGTTTTAAATGCATGAATATTGATATATAGAACTACATGTCAAAAGAAGAACCAAAAAAAAAAAAAACAAAACAAAAGAACAATGAAGAGGTTATTTTTAAGAGTTATGGAAAATTTTAAAGGAGAATGACTACCAAAAAAAAAAAAAAACAGAAGCGTTTTTGTAGGATAGATAATCCACTGATATTTAAATAGTTATGACTTTAGATGTACGAAAGAAAGACTTGCTTGGCTTCTAAATGACTTCATTGGCATTAATATAGCCAAAGATATTGAAAAACTTTATTTTTTAACCTGGTTAATGTTTTAATTTCAAATTTCAGTGTGTTAACTTTTTAATTTTTAACCCTACTACTTAAACTATGGCTTCGCCATTGGGTGCTTGGGAACCTGAGAAACTAGTTCAGCCTGGCTCTGAAATAATATCAAATCAAAAATGGGTTATAAGGTCAAGATATCTTTTTAGTGTTTCAAATGTCTTAATCGTGCTCCTCTACTAAATTTTTTAACTATAGTCCCTCCACTCTTAATTGCATCTGCATTTGATCCCTCCGATAACTTTTTCAGGCAACGGAGACAAAAATAACAAAACAAAAAATACCGGAAGTTGTCTTTGTTGTCTGAAAAAGTGATTGGAGGGACCGAATGCAGACACAATTAAGAGTAGAGGGACACGATAGTTGAAAAATTTAGTAGAGGGATACGATTAAAACATTTGAAACAATAGAGGGACATATTGGACCTTTAACCCAATAAAAAATGAAATGTTCTTTATCCAATATCAGCAGAAAATCAACCAGGAAGTTTGTTATCCTTCATTATTTTTGGGGGTAGTGGTTTTATTGTTTCCCAAAGACTCTTCAAATGTTTGCAGTTTAAATTTTCTTATGCCAGTCAGCACTCAATCTTGTGTACACAAAAATTTATGATTCTTTAAATTGCAAGCAGGTTTTAGTGCATATCTTACCACTCCCCTGGATGTGATCAAAACAAGATTGCAAGTACAGGGATCAACTATAAGGTACTACTACATCAAATTAGATTTGCATGACAATAATCAGAAGATAATTTTGTAGTCATTTTGCAAGATAATCCTTCTTTCTTACTCTTTTAGAGTGTGATTTTCAACAATAATAGCTGAAAACTGCCAGAGCATCTGTCTTCCATATCCAATATCTATGTTATAGCTTACAAGTTCTTTTGGTTGAACTCAATGTTATCCTGGTCCTCTCTGTCTTTCTAACTCTTACTCCCCACATGTGTCAAAGCACAAACACGTGCACAGCACATCCATGTTATATAAGGCTCTCTCTCTCTAGTGCAATATGGTCTTGCTTATGATGTATACTTTTGTTTGTTACCCCAAAAGCGCATTTAGATGGCCACAAAAATGAAAGAACTTAATTTGTTCCTTTTTTATGGGGCTTTCTTTGCTAACTTTGTCAGGTGAAGGTTGGCTAAGAGTTTAACTTGGTCCACTTGCTATGGTTGTGTTGAAAGGCAGATGTAATATTCACAGTGGTATTGTTTGCTAATGCTGTTATGGACTCTTAGGTACAATGGCTGGCTGGATGCAATTCACAGGATTTGGATGGTAGAAGGGTTCAAGGGATTCTTTAGAGGAAGCGTCCCCAGGATAACATGGTACATCCCAGCCTCTGCTCTTACCTTCATGGCTGTGGAATTCCTCAGGGACCAGTTCAATGAAAAACTAGACAATGGAACCATGCAAGAAGTTGCAAGCTTGTCAATAGAGAAAAGGGGATCATCTCTGCGAGAGGTAACTTAGAACCGAACCTCACTTCATCAGCCATCTGATTTTCTTGTTAGACGAGCCACAGACCATGTCAGAAGTCTACAGATTCTATTGGCACCCAAGTTTATTTTCTTGATGAAGCTGGTTTGTAGTCAAAGAAACAACATTTTGAAATTGAGTAGGTAAATTGAGATTTTGTAGTGATTGAGATGGAAGAGGAAAACAATGTTGATTGAGAGGTTTGGCTTGTTGACTTGCAGCATAGGGTGGACCTGGTTGGTTGAGAGATTTGCCTTGTTGGCTTGTAGCATAGCTTGGAATTGGTAGGATGTTCTAATTCTCACGGGATGAGATCCATGCTTATGATATCATGTTGACGCATTGTACCAAGGAATTGTGTTTTATACATTGTTATTGGGGTATTAGTTTTAAAGTTCCATTTGAACATTCAGCTGTTGCACTGTTTTGGTAGCAATAGAAATGTGTTTGCAGTTTCTTTTTTGTAATACATGATATCTACCTCTTTTACGATCTACCTCAATTATTTGGTAATAAAGATGGGGAAGTAATGTGATGGATGCTCAGCATAAATATGTGAAGGGTCAATTCAGTCGTCTGTGGTTGGGAAATATGCACTTTGAGCACCAATTTCTAATTAACTTATCATTTAAGTCTTTCCAGATTTTGATTTTTATGAAACTTTATTGAATCAATCAAGTATAAAATTTAATTTAATGTCCGTGAAGTGCTTTATGAGGCTATATGATAACAGAACCATGCCATGCCAGTCACCGTAATGCTGTTTGGAATTATTCTCAATTAGGTTTTTTTAACTTGTTCTCAGTCGATTAAGTTACATCACCTAACTTATGTTAACTTACAACTTAAACCTTGATTTTAATAAATATATAAAAAAAAACAGTTATCAAAGCTTATACAACAAATTATGTGTGGATGCACGTGGACAAAAATGTATTTGATATTAAATTAAAAAAGGCGAGATTAGTTTAAAGTTAACATTAAATAAATAATAGCACCAAACTATCATAAAATAAACAATTTCTATTATGAAATAATGAATGTCTATTTTATATTCCTACTATTTATATGATTTAATTCACCATTCAATCCGAGAAATTGAAAAGATAATGCAATTTATTCAATTATTTATGCATCTTTTAACGAGTTCATAATTCTTTTAAATTCTCTTCTTAATCTTAAAGCCTATAAATAAGCTTGATTGTTTATTAATTTATGTACAAGTATTTTGTAGAGATTGAGAGGTTATTTGAAATTGTTATCTCTTATATTCACTTTATCTTATAGTGAATTCATTTTTCTATCATCTTTCTCTTCAATTCTCCTATTATTTCTATATCTTTTATAATACATTATCGATACGAAGCTCTAACCAATTGACAAAATACACTATGAGACATGTATTTACCAAAAGACTTAATCAATTGTTTTAACAATTGAATTTCTTCTACACAAGTGCTCTACCAAAAGATCTAAATTATTTAGATCATCAAGAGGTATGTATCTAATTTATCATGTACTTTAAATCTAATGATACATAGAATATACACTTGAAAAACTTAAATGATTTAATATATAGAATCTAATAATCTAATATATATTATTTGAAAAGTTCAAATTTTATTATTATATTTTATCTTTATTTCTTAATATTATTATTATACTTTGGAATATACAATTTTAATGATATCAATCATCACAAAACTTTATTTTGTGGCCTTTGACATTTTGTGTAAGAATGATTGATCATGAGTGTTTGATGCTGAGTAAATATTTTCTACTTTTCATGTCTCGAATATGCTCCTGCAGTAGCATATCAAGAAAATGAGTTTAAGAAACATTATGAATCGATTTCATATTTGCTTATGGCTAAATAAAATGACAAGCTATTGATGAAAAAGAATAAATCTCGTCTAATTGGATCTATTCCATTCCCTAAAGTGAATGTGACAATTTATAATAATTTTAGGCGTGGATGAAGATGTGGTCATAGCCATGGACGTGGTCTAAATAATTATTATTATAATCATGATAACCATAATATTATATCTCACCACCATAAGTGGATAATTATGAAAAAGAAAAGAATAAAGATAGATAAAGTCAATATTTTGAAAATGAATGTTATAGATATGGTATGAATAGACATTGGTTGTGTACCTACCGTACACCAAAACACCTCATTAAGCCTTGTCAAACCTCGTTGAAAAAGAAAAAGTAAAATATAGAGGTCAATTTTATATATCAAAATAGAGGTAATTGAAATTAATAACTTGTTAGCTTTCTATTTATAAATAAGATGTTTTATATTTTTTATAATTTTTATTGCATAGAGATAGTAATAAATTTATTTTACTATTTATTTATTCATTCATTTATGGTTATGAAAAATTTATTTATTATTTATTTATTTAATTAATTTGTGTTAATATTATATTTAATACTATCAATTTAATAAAAAGTTTCAAAAGAACGATTATATCATGATCCGAAGAGACAAAATTTTGAAGTTTTGAAAGAGTGAATATATTATTACTTGAAGATACAACTTTTAAAGACTCTAGAAGAGTGGATATACTCGTTACTTGAAGTGACTAATTTAAAGGCTCAAGAAGAGCAAATATGTTATTATTTGAAAGCTAAATTTTATTATAAATGATGTACTATTGTCTTCAAAGTCTTATAGAAATTTGTTGAATTTCAAAGATATTCATCTAAATTGATATCATATCAAGATAGCAAATGTGAATACTTATATATTATAATCATTATACTAGGTAGAAAATAGGTATTGAAAAATCTTACTCGTTTTCTCTTTTGATCTTTATTACAAACATTGAAATGATTGAAACAAATACTATAATAAACCAAAAGTTTACTAATTCAAATATTTTTATTATATGGTATGACCGATTATGTTATCCCGGGTCTTTCTTGATGCAAAAATATTATTAAAAACTCATATGGACATCTATTGAAGAGCTAGAAGATTCTTCAATTTAATGAATTTTCATGTTCTCGCATATTGTCAAATTGATGATTAAGCCATCACCAAGAAACGTTAAGATTGAATCTCCAGTATTTTTAGAATGTATTCGGGGTGATATATGTGGAACAATTCGTCCAACATGTGGACCATTTAAATATTTTATGATTTTAATAAATACATCAACTAGATAGTCACATATATGCTTATTATCTACTCAAAACCCGACGTTTTCGAGCTAGCAAATAATATGATTTTGAGCATAATTTTCAAATTATGCCATTAAAACAAGTCACCTTGATGGTAAATTTATTTCTCAAGCATTAAATTATTATTGATTGGCTATTAGAATAAAGGTTGAACATCCAGTTGCTCATGTTCATACTCGAAAGGTTTAGTAAAATCATTTATTAAAATGCTCCAATTGATAACTAAATTATTATTTAAAATAAATCTCTTTGTTTATGTTTGAGAACATGCAATTTTCATGCAGCAACACTTATTCACATCAAACCCATAAATTATTAGAAATTCTTTCCCCTTTAATTGGCTTATAGAATGAGCAAAATATTTCTTATTTAAGATTTTTTTTTGGCATTGCGAGTATATGTCCACAATGCTCTTTCATAATGAACTAAAATGTGTACTTAAAGGAGATTGAAAATATATATTGGATTTGAATCTTTTTTTAATAAATTAATTATCTTGAACCATGAATAAGAGATATTTTTACGAGCTCGATTTATCGACTATCATTTTGATGAAACAATTTTTTCAATATTAGGGGAAGAAAATAAACAAAATAACCAATTGGAAATGTTACAAAAAGAGATTAAATGGAGTACTCTATCATATATCATCTTGATCCTCATACAAAATAATATGAACTAGAAGTTCAAAAAATAATTTATTTACAAGGTATTGCAATCCAACTGCTAGATGCATTCTCATATTTTAAATGAGTAACTAAAATGCATGTCTCCATTGAGAATGTTCCTATTAAAATTGATGTCCTAGAAGGACAATATATTGATGTTATAGCTAATGAATCTAAAGCACACTTGAAGTGCGAAAGACCGATCGCTTCTACAAGCAAAAATCCCTAAAAGATACAAGAAAATAATTAAAACAAAGGATGTAAATATTCATAAAACGGTCCAAGATATTTCGTTAATAGCTTCGAAAGAAGAGAAAAATCAAGAGACTTTGATAAATTATGTCAATACAAGAGAGAAAATAGGACCACAAAGAAACATTTATTGACAAGATTTTTGCATGTAATGTTTCAATTGATATCTTGAATGAAAATAAGGATCATGAGCCTAAATTTATTAAAGAATATCGACTTAAAGATAATTAATCTAAATGAAAAGAGCAATCCATGCAGAATTATTTTCATTTACAAAAGAATAGTTTTTTGAACCCATAGCTAAAACACTTGAAGACATTAAGCTAGTGTGATATGAATATGTATTTATGTGAAAATAAAATAAGAAAGATGACATTGTAAGATACAAATAAAAAATTTTAACACAATAGTTTTCGCAAAGAACTAACATTTACTATGAGGAAATAGATTCTCCTATAATTGATGCAATTATATTTTGTTATCTCATTAGCTTGAAAAAATATATGAAAAAAATTCATATATATGCATTTAATAAATGTGATCACAGTTTATTTGTTCATTTGAAATGAAATCTATATGAAAGTCCTAGAAGGAATTAAGATGTCTAAAGCATGTAATACATATTTTCAAAAAATGAATTGAATTAAATTATAGAGATCTCTATCGAATTATTTTAGTATTAGTTTTATTATTTTAGTTTTTAGAAATTCAATTTATGCTATACTTTTTATATTTATTTTTTATTTTTCAATATCTATTCTTTATTACTAACTCGTGTGCATGTGGTATAATTATTTCAATAAATATTTATTGAAAGAAGGTAAAAAAAAAAACCATATATATTCATAAATTTTTATAAAAAAAAATTCAAAAAGGAGTTTGTGAGAGTTGCTATATATAATGATGATTTAAATATTATTCAAACTCCTGAAGAGATACCAAATGCTATAAGTTAGCTAAAAGGAGAATTTGATATGAATACCTTAGGCAACAAAATTTTATCTTGACCTGCAGTTTGAGCACTTAGAGAATGATATTTTTATTCATCAGTCAATTTATATAGAAACATTTCTATAATTATTCTATATAAAGGTCATCCATTGACTAGCCTAATAATAGTTCATTCACTTGATATCAAAAAGACCATTTTCGATCTCGAGAAGACGACAAAGAACTACTTGGTAATGAAGTACCATATCTTACTCCTACTAGTGCATTGATATATCTTGTTACTTATACTCAACTTAATATAGTCTTTTCTATAAATTTATTAACAAGTTATATTTCTACTCCAATATGAAAATTGGAATAGAATTAAACATTTCTTACGTTATCTTCAAGGAAAATTTGATATGGTATTTATTTTATTCAAATAAATCAAAGCCGAGTTTAATTGATTATGCATATGCAAGTTATTTATCTAATCTATATAAAAATCGATCACAAATAGGTTATGTATTTACATTTGGTGATACAACTATATTATGAAGTTTTATGAAGCAAACTATAGCTGTAAATTATTCAAACCAGGCAAAAAATACCAATTTATGGGGCAAGTCGAGAATTTTTTTGGCTAAGATCAACGATCCATCATATCCAAGAGACATGTAGTTTATCTACCAATAAAAAGAAGTTCTAACAATAGTATATGAAGATAATGCTGCTTGCATAATTCAAGTAAATGAAGAATTTGATCAATCGACAATCCAATAGATTTGTTCACTAAGGCATTACTTACCAAAACTTTTGAAAAGATGATTCACAAGATTGAAATACATCATCTTAATGATCTCAAATGATGTTTTCAATAGCGGAGGCCAAAAGCCAACATTGAGATTAATATATTCAAGGAATATTGTACTTTTTTTCTTTCAATAGGATTTTTTTCATTGGATTTTTTCCTAGTAAGGTTTTAACGAGACATGTTCCTTGTACGATGGACACTCAAGGAGGAGTGTTATGAAATAATGAATGTCCATTTCATATTCTCCACTATTCATATGATTCAATTCACTATTCAATATGAGAAATTGAAAGAGTGATGCAATTTATTCATTTATTTATGCATCTTTTAATCGTTCATAATCCTTTCAAATTCTCTTCTTAATTTTAAAGCCTATAAATAGGCTTCATTGTTCATTAATTTATGTACAAGTATTTTTTTATAGATTGAGAGATTATTTGAAATTGTTATCTCTTGTATTCACTTTATCTTATAGTGAATTCATTTTTTTATTAACTTTCTCTTCAATTCTCATATTATTTCTATTTCTTTCAAAAAAATTTCAAACTTAATTTTAATAATTTACTTTAAATAGAAACCTTGTTAATTTAGCAAGTAATTACTCAATTTGTAAATATGCCACGTAAAATGTCAAAAAAAAAAAAGAAAAGTAATATAAAAATCATACTAAAGGATATAAACTTACTTGATCGGTGTATGAATTAATGAAAGACCTAAGCATTATGGTAGAGAAATGCAAACAATGAATGACATTAAATAATTTATAAAATCATTGTATTAAATGCTATTTGCATAAGTTCTTTTTGTATAATTTTTCTATTTCTATAGTCCTATTGTAATTAATTTTGGTTCGAATAGTTCTCAACCGGAAAAGTATTTTGGTCGGTACTAAAGGAAATATTGGAAAAAAAAACTTACATTATCATTTTCCAAAGAAAAGAACCACGGTACTTGTTCGAATTAACATAATCTATGTAACAATATGATTTTGTTCTTAATAATATGATTTTGTCAAAGTTAATTTCCTTGCCTTTTTAATTGAGTTACTAAATTCTTAAGGCCTTTTTTTTTGTCTTATCTAGGTGACAAGCTCCTTTGTTTTGTCTTGTCTAAGTGACAAGTGGGGCTTGTCTTCTTGTTCTTTTCTTGGTCTTTTTGTCATAATAAAGTGCGTTGGATGATTTGTGGAATATCAATTGTAAACTTGGTTATTGATGATGATGGTGATGAGGGGATTGTATTTAAGGTGAACCCTATAGAAGATCAAGTCGTGGATCCGCACTTTGCTTTAGTGGGACGATTTCTAATTAATAGAGTCATTAATTTTCAGAGCTATGAAGGAAACTATAATAGAACTTTGGAGACTAGGCAGAGGCGTGTTTATTCGTGATCTAGATCCTAACCTCTTCATCTTTCAATTCTTTCATGATTTAGACATGAAGCGTGTTTTGGACACCGAACCTTGGACTTTCGATCATCAAATCCTCTTAATAAAGCAACTAGAACAAAATGATTAACCTTAGCGTATTCCACTCTTCATTGTATTGTTTTGGGTTCGGGCATTTGACTTACTCCGTGGGTCTTATGACTTTTAAAGTTGGGAAGGTGATTAAAGATTACATTGGACATTTTATGGAGGCCAATCGAATAATGTCACCTATATATAGTGAAATTACATATGGATACATATCGAGCATAGATGTCCGTAATCCACTCGAAAAACAAGATGAAGATCAAGTAATCGGATAGAAATTGGGCTTGGATTAGTTTCAATTATGAACGGCTACCGAGCTTCTATTTTATTTGTGAAATCTTGGAATATGGTGATTGATTTTGTGCAAAATTATTTGACGATTAAGATGGTATGGTAGAGAGGCGGTTTAGTGTGATGCGAGGGCTCAACCCAAGCATCGGCAATCTCTTCGTTTAAGGGAGAGGTAGCTCCAAACAATGTCATTGGTCATGGGAGGTGATAATTCGAGGGCGATTACAAATCGAATATAGAGGAGGTCAATCGGAATAACAATATTGGTTTTAATGGAATTAATGACAAGAGAGATGTTTTAGGTGTTCGTTTGGCTACTACTATCCCCGGTAGTAATGGCTTTAATGAGGGGAGTAATCATACTATGGTAATAAGCATAATGTCTTGTATGTCTAATGTTATTGTGATAAATGAAGGAGTGAAGATATTAGATACTAGGGTAGGTGGTGGGTCTATTGAATTGGGCCTTACATCTTTGGATAAAAAAAGGAGAAAAATAGGTGAAAGTAGTTGTTCGAGTGCTATTGGGCCGGACTCGGGCCCAAGCCATGTTATTGTGACATATTAAAAAAATAGAAAAGTAGTGGGCCTAGTGGATCGAGCTTGCCGAGAACAATGAGTGTTTTGGCTTGGAATTATCGTGGGTTGGGTAACCCACGAGCAATTTCTTGATTTTTTATTTTTAATTGAAACTTTGAGTAGAAGGCCCAAGGTAGAGAAGGTTAGATCTAGGTTAGCTTTTAACTTTGTTTTTGTTGTTGAATGTGTGGGACGAAGTGGTGGATTGGCTCTCTTTTGGAAGAATAGGGGTTAGCTTCACCTTGTCAATTCTTTTGCCAATTTTACGGATGTTATTGTGTAAAGGGCTAGGGAAAGGGAATGGAGGTTGATCGGCTTCTATGGCATGCCCGAGCATTCGTGGTGATGGGAGTTATGGGATCCGCTCTAAGGCTAGTGCAAGCATCTCCTTTGCCGAGGTGTTGTATTGGTGACTTTAATGACATTTTGTTTGCTTCGAAAAACGAGGTCATGTTTGGTAGTCTTTGTGGTTGATAAATAGGTTTAAATTGGTGATTGAGGACTGTGGGTTATCGATTTAGATCTCTTGGGCTATGACTTCACTTGGGAGAGAGGGAATGGTATGGAACGATAGGTTAAGGAGAGACTTGACAAGGCCACGAGCAACCAAACTGGTTTCAAGCTTTTTCAAGGGCTACTCTTTGGAATCTAGGCTTCTTCTCATCGGATCATACCCCTCTTTTTATGAATCAATAGGTGGAAAATGATCAACAAGCTATTTAGTGTTTTCAGCTTGAGAATGCCCGGTGTTGTGATAGTGGATGTGAAAGGATGATTGTTGATTGTTAGAATAGCTCTCTTCATGGCTCGGTACAAATAAAAATTGAGCTTTGTGGTGAGAAACTCAATGAATGGGGAAAATCAATTACATAAGTGTTTTATTTGCGACTTCAAATGTCTAAGAGGTGCATGAAAGCTCCGAGAGGAAGGAGGGATTGTTCCTCAATTGAGGAATTTTGAAAGGTCGAAGCCGACTACTTTGAAACTTTAAGGCAATAGAAGGTTTTTGGAAGCAACACTCTAAATTATTTTGGCTAAAAGATGAGGATGCAAGCACCTGAAACATTTCATGCTATGGCTTCTTAAAGGAAGAGGGAAAATGTTATTCTTAGGCTGATAGATAAGAGGGGCATATGGCACAAGGGTAATGGTATGGAGCATCTAATGTCTTCACATTTCGAGACACTCGTTTTGTTCGTTTATATGTGATTTTGATGGGATTCGAGTCGGGTTGGTCGAGAGTTACCGATGACCAAAAATTACTTCTTCCTCGCATCTTTCACTTTGAAAGAGACTAAAAATATAGTATTCATAATGCATCCTAATAAGGTGCCAAACCCGGATAGTATGAATCTAGCTTTTTATCAAAAATATTAGTCGATTATAGGGGTTGATGTTTTAAGGACTTGTATTAACTAAAAGAATTCTTATACCATACCAAAAGTTCTAAATGACATGATTATCACTCTTATCCTAAAAAGAAGTAGCCTCGATCTATGTCTAATCTTCATTCGATCTCTTTGTGCAATGTAATCTATAAAATCTTGGCCAAGGTTTTGACTAATAGATTGAAGTTGTTGTTACCCGGTATTATTTTCGACCATCGAGTGCGTTCGTTCTAGATTGGTTGATAACTAATAATATTACTATAGCTTTTAAGGTGATGCTCTATCTAAAGTAGAAAAAGGAAGGGAAGGATGGATATGCTACACTAAAGATTGATATTTGTAAAGCATGTGATAAGATAGAATGATCCTATTTGCATGGAATGGTGCTGAATTTGGGGTTCCATAGGTGGAGCTTATTATGTTGTGTGTTTCGTTAGTGCGCTATCATATAGCCTCGCAGCTTGACCTCCTAGGTTTTATAACACTATAACAAGGCTTACGTCAAGGTGACCATCTATCCCCATACCTATTTATCTTACGTGTTAAAGAGCTTTAATTGCTACTTTATCAAAAGAGGATATGGGTCTTATTCATGGTTGTACAATGGCTAGAGATGCTTCATAGTGTCTCATTTGTTCTTTATCGATGACGACTATATTTTCTTTAATGCTACTCACACGTAAAGTACTCGTTATTATGGATGTTCTTCGAAGCTATGAGAGAGGTTAGGGTTAGTTAGTTAATTTCTAGAAATCTTTTATTGTGTTCGGTGAAAATGTGCTAGCTTTTAGGAGAGTTATGGTTGTTGATCAATTATAGGTAATCGAGTCAAATGGACATGGAATCTATCTAGGCTTTCCTTAATTGCTTGAGAGGAAGAAGAAGGCAATATTTGCATACATCAAGACAAGACTTAGAAAAGATTATAAAACCGAAAATATAGATATTTTTTATATCCAGGTAAGGACCTCCTAGGTCTTATCACACCATAACGAGGCTTACATTAAGGCGACCCTTTATCCCCATACCTATTTATCTTATGTGTTGAAGGGCTTTCACCGTTGCTTCGTCAAAAAAGGATGTAGTTCTTATTCATGGTTGTACAAGTGGCTAGAGGTGCTCTAAGTAGTGTCTCATCTATTCTTTGTTGATGACATCTCGCTTTTCTTTAAGGCTACTTAGGTAGAAAGTACCGTTATTATGGATGTTCTTCGAACCTATGAGAGAGGTTCGGGTTAGTTAGTTAATTTCTAAAAATCTTCTAATTGTGTCTAGTGAAAATATGATAACTTTTAGGAGAGTTATAGTTGCCGATCGATTATAGATAATTAAGTCGGATGGATATGGAATCTATCTAGGTTTTTTTTGTTGATTAGGAGGAAGAAGAAGGTTTTATTTGCCTCGATCAAGTACACGACTTACAAAAGATTACGGAATTGAAAGTATATATATTTTTCATATACGATTAAGGACCTTTTAGGTCCTACCACACCACAACGAGGCTTATGTCAAGGCAACCCTCTATCCCCATACCTATTTATCTTATGTGTTGAAGGGCTTTCATTGATGCTTCATCAAAAGAGGATGTGGGCCTTATTTATGGTTGTACGAGTGGCTAGAGGTGCTTCAACGAATGTCTCATTTATTCTTTGTTGATGACGACTACATTTTCTTTAAGGCTACTCAAGCAAAACGTATCGTTATTATGGATGTTCTTCGAACCTATGAGAGAGGTTTGGGTTAGTTAGTTAATTTCTAGAAATATTCTATTATGTTCAATGAAAATGTGTCAACTTTTAATAGAGTTGTGGTTGCTAATTAGTTGGAAGTAATTAAGTCGGATGGACATGGAATCTAGCTAGGCCTTCCTTCGTTGATTAGGAGGAAGAAGAAGGCCGTATTTGCCTACATCAAGAACAAGACTTAGAAAAGATTTTAGAATTGAAAGTATACACATGTTTCATATACAAGTAAGGAGGTGCTACTAAAGACTATTATCCAGGCTATGTCTAATTTTGCAATGAGTGTGTTCTTATTGCCTTTAAAGTTGTGTAATGATACCGAGAAGATGATGAACTCATTCTAATAGGGTTCGAGTGGGAAAGACACTAGGGGAATTCATTGGTAATCCCGGCAATGTCTATATAAGCTGAAAAGTAAAGGCAAAATAGGGTTCAAACGACTACATGACTTTAATATGGCCATGCTTTGAAAGCAATGTTGGTGGCTATTGACTACTCCAAATTACCTTATGGTTTGAGTCCTAAAGGCTAGGTATTTTCCTCGGTCTTCTTTCATGGAGGCTTCATCGAGTCACAATCCAAACTTTGTCCGGAGTAGTTTGTTGGCGGCACAAAACTTAGTTAAAAAGGGAGTAGATGGAGAATCGAGAATTAGAGTTCGATCTATGTATGGTTTGATCCGTAGTTGTTTAACATTACTTGCTCGATTGTTCAAAGTCCAATGATTGAGGGACTAGAGGACTTAAGAGTGTCTCAACTTATACGGGATAGGGAATCAAGGTGGGATATTGTGTTCATTGATAATTATTTATTAGATAGGGATTATGGATTAATTCTACAAATCCTATTGAGTTTTAGAAGATCGGTTGACTTGTTGGACATGAGCCATAGATAAGAGTGGTGAATACTCGGTTAATAGTGGGTATTTTATTCAAAGAGGGATGTCTAATGCGCTACCTCTTGTTTAGGCATCGGTATGGACTAGGTTGTGGTGCATAAAGGCTCCTCCAAAGACCTTGAATTTGTTATGTCAAGCTTATAGGGATTGTCTTCCAACCCTTTTGAAGTCGGTCAAGAAGAGAGTGAAAGTTGATATATGGTGCCCGGTTTATGGCAATGAAACAAACTATTTTGCATGCTTTGGTTAATTATCTAAAGTCTATAATGGTTTGGATCGGATCATGTGTAGTATGGAGATAGACAATGCAAACTCCTTCAAAGATTGGTTTCAATGCCTCTTTGCTAGGCTATCGATTAAGGAGTATGAGGTAGCTACTGTGATTTGCTAGAGTATATGGCGAGGAAGGAATGATATGGTCTAGAATAATAAGAATCGACCGATATAGGTGATTCTCAAGGCGAGCAATGGACTTAATCTCATAATGGAGACATACCAAAACCGATAAGGCATCTAGTGTTGGTCCTCGATCGCTCGTTAACCAAGTATCAACAAATGGACTCCACCTCCTCTTGGTAGGCTAAAGGTAAATTTGGACACTCGCTTTGTTCTCCTCTTCTCACTCGTATGGGCTTTGGATGTGTTGTGCAAGACTCTAAGGGCTCGGTTGTGGATGCTTTCTCTAATATACTAAGGGGTATCTCGAATCCCGGTATTATAGAATGCTTAAATCTTAGGGAGGTGTTGAGTTGGCTAAAAGAAAAGCGAGATCTCGAATGTGGTTATAGAGTCGGATGCATAATTGATTATATAGGTCTGTGGTGAGTGCGTCTATCTCTTCGTCTAGCTTAGGTCTTATTGTTAAGGATTGTAAATTCCTAGTCAAGGATTTGTTCAATGTCTCTATAATGTTTATTAAAAGATCGGTGAATCAAGTTGCTCATTTTCTTGCTAGAGCTTTTTGCTCAATGTCTAGTTTTATGTATTGGGGATCTCATCCCCCAAATTTCTTATTAGTAGCTTTGGTCGTAGATCAGTCTTATTAATGAAAGTAATATTTTATTCAAAAAAGAAAAGAAAAATTATGTAATTGAAAAAAAAGTTCTTAAAGTGTTCTCTTCATTGGAAAAATTGAAAAACTCTAGCCCTAACCCTAATAGAACCAAAAAATTGAATATCACTAAAAAGATAAAGGTTCGTGCATAAGAAATTCCAACCAATTCCAACGAATAGCTCAAAAAAGATGCAAGCACTTGATTATGAGAGTGTCGTTGTAAATGACTAGTAAGAAGAAGCTATCGTTGTTTTTTTATGAATGAAGACAAATGAGATTGAAGTTCAAGATAGGATTATTATGGTCATAGAGATGGAGAAAAGAGCTACTATTAAGTTATTATATAGACTTTCAAAATGCATCTTCGACAACAAGGTTTTATACAATACACT